TACACTATGAAACGGTAAAACTTGGGCAGCTGCCCCGCTAACACTCTAGTACCAAAGACCTACTCCAACCAAGGCGGAAGTCGGGAAACCCGCTCTCCACGCGGAGAAACAGCGATGATGCATTCCCCGGATCCGCAGAGGTTGTAGATGGAAAGCCGGAACCAGCAGAAACACACCTGATATTCAGTTATTTTTAAGATTAATGTGTTTACCTCAGGAATAGGAGGCCCGAGAAACGGCAAAGATGAAAGCGGCAGGGTACATCCATCAGCTGATAATGGAGCCACCGCCACCGCAAGGCTAAATTATATAACATTAATTATCTAAATAAATCGAACATTACCAATAAGCCTTGTGCAGAAGCCGAGTGCGACTTTGGGTATCGAGCGATAACAGACTCTCACCACGAATCATGTCAACCTAAAAATGGAAACAAGGTATTATAGCTGAAAAGTGTTTATCTACCTCATGCCCGGCGCCTTTCAGCTTTTTCAACAAGTCCAGGAGTCCGGTTGCATGCAACGAATACCGTGCAGCCTCCCCTTCAGCGAAACGATTGACCTAAAATGTTATTTTCCAAGTTTATGTCGTCCGTTAGGAAGCCGACCTTTTCAAGGAGGTCCATAAAATCGCGCAATTGGTCATCGCCAAGCTTGCCGACCTCGAAGAGAGTGACGGCATGGCCTGAAATTTGGATAAAGGTAATTAAAACACGTATAACAAAAGAGAAAATAAAAGATATTACTCAAGCAGGTAAAGTAGTAAAAGTAAAATCAATTAAAATATGGCTAACCTTTCAAAGCTGTGCTCAAATTGCCCATCATCAGGAAGGCGGTCAGCGTCGAGTCAAAAACAAGAGCCACCTTTCCGGCCCCGGAGGCCGTTTCAGCAGTTTGAGGGGCTGACATCTAAATTGTCTTCCGTGAAGTCGTCATTTGGACTCGTACAGTAGCCGGTGACTGAGAATCGCGAGGGGATACGGCTCGATCCTCATCCTCCTCTTCTTCACCCGTTAAAGCCGCCGACAGCTCGCCTAATCCGGTTGACAACGACAAGAGGTCGTCCCTGGAAGCAAATTTTTGGTGCTTTGCGTTTTCGGGGCGGGGGGCATTCTTTTCTGAAAAATGCAGAAATGTCTAATAACGTAAACGTAAGTCTTTTAATGCCGCTATTTAGCAAAATTGAACTATATTTCAATATAAAAACTCGAAAATCGGCCATTTTTCGTCGAAAAACGTAAATTTTCTTTTTCTGGAATGAAAATTTGTAGTTTTTACGCTAAGCCATAGCAAAAAAAAACAGCTTAGAAATATTTACTAGATTTATGTTTTCAAATGGATCCTACGGAAAAAACTGCCTCCCCCCCTTAATACGAAAGAACCGATTTTGTGTGTATCATAAATCCTTACTGCGTATTTGAAGCTGTCATCGTCGTACCGGAAATTGTCCTTGTTGCCCATGACGAATGCATACGGATCCCTTAAAAAGCTCATTAATCTCATAAAAAAATACAAACCTTCAATCCCGGTGACACGCTTCCTGGCAAAACCAAGCCGACAGAACAGGGATATCGCGTTCTTCACCAGTTGCAAATCAATGTGCAACATTTCGGCGATCTATGAAAGAAGACTTGGTAATCCGATTTTTTTTACTATTTTATTATTAATCGCCATAATTTTTATAACTAAACCCTAAAGAGCCACCTCGTGCACCGTCGTCTGATCGTCGATGGCCACAAAAATCTTGTACAGCAACGTCTCGAAGTAGTCGCCCAGCACGCGGTTCATCACGAAACCGTCCAGAGGGGCAACTGAAATATTTAATATTTCAAATAATCCTATTAACTATTAATTATGCCAGTAAACGGCCATACCGTATACGTAATCATTTTCGGAGACTGGTACATCAAAATAAACGAGGCCCGCGTTGAAAAGTCGCTGGATCAGACCAAGATCTTGGGTGGCGGCGATCTAAAGAAAGGCAAACCTCGGCAAATTAATTTCCAAACTTACTTGTGGGCCCTCATCAAGCAGTAGATCTACCAAGGCTCGTTCCAACGCCGGTAAACTCTACAAAAATATGTTTAAAAAATAGTATAGCGTAAATTAGATAATCTTTACTTAAAGACAAACCTTGACATCCGCCTCCAGAATACTCCCAGGGCAGACGAGCCACCATGGCTCGATGCTTATCTGAAACCCGTTCGGGATTAAAGACCTAGAAAATTTCACATTGACTGGCTTCTGAGGCAACAGCTCTCGAATTGGCTTATTGCGGCGGAAGAGGCGCCGATTTGATCTGAAAATCAATGTAAGATTCAAACAAAACAAATTCTGTCGATCTAATTTTTAATATTCAAGATCACTAAATGACACACTTGTTTTGATTCATAATATCAATATATTGATTGCGCCCAATCCCCAACAGCCGCACTGCATCAGCGGCCGTGAAATTCGGCAGCGAGTCGTACGATTTCTCTGCGGCCAGCATCTCCTAAAAACGTTAACTGTAGCATAACAGATTGTTTGATCTACCATAAATATATTTATGTAATAGCTGAACGGGGTCGTGCGCAGCTCGCGGACGATGATATCGGAGAGATGGTAAGGGAAGAGCATCACATGGCTCTCCGAATATTTCATCACAATATCGTAGTACATTTCTTCGCTCTTTTTCACTTGTCGAACTAAAAAAATAGGGGTTTACAATTTTATTGTCAAATTACTCTTTACTCACCTAGATTTCCTTTATAGCGCAATTGGTTCCGGACACTGTACTCGAGCACAAGCTTGTCGTACTCGCGATTTGAGGCGCCGAGTAGAACCTAGATACAAAATTATGATAAAAACATATTTATGACTTTCTATTATCATCTTTTTCGTGATAAACATGAATTATTTGGGTTTTTCCCGGGTTTCTTGGGTTACTAGCTTTTTAAGTATTTCTTTCGAATCTGCCGATTTTTCTAGCCCGGCGAGCTTCTAGCTATAATGGATTTCCTGCACTTAGCCCGTTTTATTTTGTTTGAAATTCCTTTGAAAAATCCTTTTAACGATGACTCACAATCTCGGATTATCAATCTTTCCACAGAAATTTTATCTTCGTCTATTTCTGGAATGAAATCTTAACTTTTTGCATTTCTTGCATTTTCTAGTTGTATTTTTATATATATCCAGTCTAAATTCTGACCTGAACATTCTCCGGCAGTCGAGCCCACGGCACATTGTCCCGGATGTACGTCTCGATTTCCATTACCCTTAAATTCAATCAAAATAGTATCTTTCTTAAGGATCATTTTTCAATAATCATCAGCAAAAGACTGGCAAATTCCCAACATAGGTATATTACAACTATTTATTATTATCATCCTGCTTTGCCCCGATTCGATCAATTTGCCGATTATGCGTACGGGCCACGTGTAATTGAAGCCGATCCTGACGCCAAAATTTCGCTTGGCACTCTAGAAATTTTTTTTTTGATAATCTGAGGGCCACGTACCTTGAACCGGGCACTGTAACTGCTTCATGCCCAAATGTTCACGGAACACGTGCGCGTCCATGTTCTTTTTATCTGCATAGCAAGTGCCGCACTTCCGGCAAGCGTACGGTTTTTCGCCTAGAAAAAATTAAGTAGACGACGATGGCCCTACCTGTATGCGCCCGGATATGGCGTACCAAATTGCTCTGAACTTTGAAGCCCTGGCCGCAATACTTGCATTTATATGGGGTCTCGAGGGTGTGCATGCATCTAAAAACAACGATTCGTAAAACTCAGACTTGCGATACCTTATATGCTTCACTAGGGCTCCACGTTCGCGCGTCCTGTGCTCACAATAGTTGCATTTATACGGCTTTTCCATTAGTAGCTAGAAAAGAGGTAATTTTCAAAGCTCGGGACAAACCTGTTGCTCACCCACCACCAGAGGCACAATCAGCTGGCTGCTCGTGCAAATTTCGGGAATTTGCCTACAATATTCTTTCGTCCTTTTTTGTATCTTGACCTACCCATCCGAATCCACATCCCTCTTTCGACGCCCAAAAGTCGATGGCGCCGGGCTGCTGACTTGAAGTGCAGCGATCGGAGCTGAAAATCTCATGATTTTTCGAGCCTGATAAATGATCATTACTGCAGCATTTGCCACTACCCACCTCCTTTCTCAATGATACATGCCGGGCCCTTGATGGTGAAGCTTGGACCAAGCCGCCTACCACCCGGCAGAGGCCGTATCCGCCTTGGGCCCAGCACGAATTCGTCGTACAGCAAATGCTAAAAGGACGATAGGCTTTAAAAACCTAAACCCTACATAGTCATCTAGGGAATCAGGCTCTACACGGCTTGTCGATGGTCGTGGCTCGTATTCTTCAGAATCCGGACTGCCACCTAATTTTTTTCTATGAATTCTGATTCGTCGACACCTACCTTTTCGAAATTTATTTCGGCTAACCTCGGCACGCCGTGGACCCCAAAAAGAATTCTACTAAAAGAAACTCTAAAAACCTGTTCTTGTAGCACGACATTATCGACCATGTGGCTTGGGCCTGGAGCTGGCTCCAAAACCAGAAACGGCGGGCTAGCTTCAACCCCGAGCCGCTCATCTATTTTGGCTAATAGCTGCGGTATGTCCAAAGAAGCAGCGGCAACACGAAGTGTACGCAGGCTTCGACTCGGAACCCCCAGACGACCAGTGTACAGGAAATCGACGATCACTCGAAGGTCCGTCCTGCCAATGAATAGAATATAGGATGATAGTGCAAAATACCTGGAACCAATCCCCGTCGATAATGTCAAATCTTTCCTTCCATCGCCCCGTTCGAACAATTCAGCTAGCGGCCGGCTGAATGCTGCCATGATGCTTTTGTGGCAGGACAGCGTGATCCCGTCCTTTTATGATTTTTGTTTTCTACTGCTCTACTTGCACCCACTTTGAACTTCAACAGACAATCCGTGAATTTTGATTGTTTTCTAAATCGCTGAATGGCCGTCATCAGCTGTACATTGTGATTCGGGTTGATATAAGCATTTCCTAGAAACTAAATCATCCTCATATTTTTGCCTACCTATTTGTGATTCTAATGCCGCTAGCGGTTCTATTTGTAACGCATTGGCAGCTTTGACGGTTTCTTCATTCAAGACAACATGCCCTGAATACATAAAGTCGAGTAGACTCTGAAGCGCTGAAGGTTGAACACCTGAAAACATTCGACGTATCTGCATCCAGCCTTTGATTCTCCTAGTTCCCATGGTTCCTTTCCCACCTGTAACGTCCGAATCAATATTTAGCGATATGCTCTCGGATTGATGCACCCCATGGAGGGCCGCCTCGAAATGTGGGCTAAAGGCCGCAAGAAGGATACGATGTGCACGGGCCAACGCTTTCCCATCACATGCCACCTCTACGTCAGTCGTGTTATCATCCTACAGAAAGTTGAGGCCATAAGCAAAGGCCGAACCGTGCGATGAGCCCGAAAGTGATCCAAAACCCGCTCCCCATGTTCGATCAAACAAGAGTTTTCCACTTTAGCTGAAAATTCACTAAATATTTCTTTTCTTTATTGATTTTTTCTACTGATTCCACTCATCCTTCCAATGATTAAGAAAGCGGCTGTGTCGATTCCATGTTGAAATAATGAGATGGCGTGTCATCCTGTCAATTCATGCTCAACGGTGATTCAAGCTAATTTATTCTTCAGAAAAGCACAGCGAAATAATCCAACGAAAACATATTTGTTAAGGCAAGGCAAATGAGCGGGGCATAAAATGAGGTCCTGTAGAAGTGAGATGAAAGTGCGAGTAAGGAATGGAAAGGCTGGCGGCAAATTGTTCTCCGATTATTGGTTCGTGCTGGGTCCTGCCAAGCTCTAAAGAAAAATTTTTGAGAATCGATGGCCTGCTCACCGATTGTGACGGTCGGGAGGACAGCTTCGGCTTCTTTTTCATAAAGGGCAAGCTGGCGAAGCTGAGCCGGCCCAAGACCGACTTGCTCTCTGAAGGGCCAGTTGTTGTGCTGTTTTCTTTGTTCTCGATGGCCTCGGCGAGAAGAGCCGGGGGCGGCGGCACTGAATAGAGAAATGTATTCATTTACAAGAATTTACTTACATCTACTCTTCCTTGGAGGCGGCAGTGGAGTCTTCTTGTTCTGTTGCGGTTTCTCTTCTTCGGCCTCTGCCACGTCCTCATCGATTGCGGGCCAGAGATTTGAGCCGTCGATACTAAGAAAGGAAATAAGGCTGATCCTGCAGATACATACCCATTAAACGAAACCGTCATGTCCTCGGACACCGCGACATTGTCGTCCATTTTACCGACGGATACCTCTGACATGCTGCGAGAGTCCATTCTGCTGCTCTCGGCGCGAATTGGCAATTCGGGAACTCGGAAAAGACAGTCTAAAAGAAAATGTCTCAGCCGTCCTTATTTCCCTACCACCATCGTTGGTAGATGCCATCGAAAGGTCAAGCTTCGGGAATTCCAAATGGGCCGCTGATTTCGACGACTTTCCGCCAAATTTCGTAAGGCTCTTCAGCGATTTGGTGCTTCGCATGAAGGGAATCTTTCTGAAAATCAACAGAATTAGAACGAAAAGCAAAACCCACGATTTCTTCTTCAGAGGCGTCGAAGTGAATTTGGGTGTGATCATTGAGCTCTTCACACGCTTCAGCAGTGAGAAGCGAGACTTTGATGTGGATGGCGAGCGATCGGAAGAGATCGAAACGGCTGAGATGGTCGATGCGCGTCCGGTGACCGGCAGCGGCATCTCCGCCCGTTGGTCGTCCAGACGATTGCCCATCTTCTCGAGCATTGCGAAAAAATCGTCATCGTTGCCCCGTTGGATGAGTCGTGGTTTATTCTAAGCAAAAAATGTTTAGATAAAGAAACTACAACTTACCGCATTACTCACACTCTGATCGTTACTGAGCGCTGACGGTGTGTCAAGACGTGTCGTATCAGAGGCCCCACTAAAAAGAAACATTGAATTTCGAACCATCAATTAGAATATTATTTTTTTCATAAGTCGCTAAAAAGTAAAAACGTACCAAGCGCTATAGAGCGATGGCTCGCTACCGTGTAAATAAACCGAGCGTAGAGATTCGGAAAGGATGACTTCGATGGGATCCTTGTCAAAAGAAGAGTCCAGTACCAGCTTCCCGTCAGAAATCGCGACCTGGCCGGTCTGTTTCATTTCATAGAGCTTCTCGTGGGCCTCGCTCCGAGCGGTGTCATCGCCAACCTAGAGGAAATCATAGAAAACGCCTCAATTCAATTACCTTTTTCGCCAATCTCCGGTTGACTGCGTAAAAATAGGCTGCGCTGGGATATGAACAGGCGGTCGCCTGCAATTCGGCCAGCTTTCGATAAGCTTTTTGTTGGCCGGCCACGTCGCCCTCCATCTTGAATTGGTCCTTGCACTTGTTGAGGTAGAAGCGAGCTAAATAACGAATTTCCGTTTCATGCTAAAATATACCATCGTCATATTCATTGTCTTCTATAAAGGCGTCGCTCATCGACATGTAGTGTAGGGCCATCGCTCGGTGATCATCCAGCTCGGTAGCTATGGACAACGCTTGACGGTAGCATCTAAATTTTAGAAAATATTTTGAGAAAAGCCGGCCATTCAGAAGAATATAAATAACGCACTTTATCGCTTCTTTCGGCTGTCCGGTGGCCAGATAGATGTTTCCGAGTGATCCATTAGTGCGTCGCTGTGCAGGCTTGTCCCTTAGGCTATCGGCTATCGCAAGGCGCTAAACGAACGTCGAAAAACGAAAAAAAAACTGTTCACCTCTTCGTACAGCTTCTTCGAGCCATCAAAGTTGGATAGCAAAAATTGGCATTCGGCCAGATCGCCGATAAGCGATCCTATCCCGTCCAAATCTTGTCCGAATTCGCTTTCCCGGGCGATCACAAGTGCCATTTCCAATTTTTGGATGGCCGCTTCAAAGAGCGACGTCGCTTGTGGACCAATAGCGCCATCGGTTGGATTCTTAAACAGCATTAAGCGATAAATTCGTTCATTACCATTAAAACGTCATATTGGTCCTTCGAGGCCTTTCCCTTCTTTTTGAGGAGATTTCCCAAACAACTTAGTGCGTCACATTCAAGCTTCTAAACGTAAAATTAACAACATTTTGAAACCAAAGACCTTGTCTTGGATGACGGCGGCCAACCGGATGGTATGTTCATAATTGACCACAGCCTCATCGGAACCGACATCGATCGCCTGTGCCATCCCCGCGATCTCGAAATAAACCGACGCTTCGGCATGCTGATTCCCTTGAAGCGCATACAAATCGCGAAGCTTCCTCAGCATCCCAATAGCCTTATGTCTTGCATCAACCCTGGCGGCTCGTTCTCGCTCATTTTTGGCCTTTTCCGCGTAAGCGATCGCACACTAAAAATGTGGGTAAGAGAACGATGGTAGCGTCCCAAGATATATCGAAGGAAAACCCACCAAAAAATAAAGATCGGCGAGCAGATTGCTATCATTATGGGCGACGGCGAGGGCCTGAAGCACAAGTTCTATGCTTTCATCGATGAACCCGTCTCGCAATCGTATTTCGGCTTCTGTTCTCAGCTGATCGCATCGTGCCAGAGGGTCAGACATGCCCTGAAATGTTGAAGGGTCAGGTCATGGGTCATAAGAATTCTGGGAAGAGGGAAGATCGCAACTAAAGGTGTAGATTCACATAAAGTCGTCAATTGCAAAGGTTCTTGCGGAACGCTATAAAGAGAAATCCAGCGCTAAAAATGCTCTTTTTAACCCCTCGAAATTCAAATTTACTACCCGCTCCTTTCCAGAAAGCGCGCGAGGTGGCTCCCGGAGCGCTTTATGAGAGGCTGCTGTGTTCAACATTCTTAATTTGCCTAAAATTAACTTCACTAACTTCATTATAAAAACTAAACACCGGAAACGGTTACGCCGCGTTAGAAGTTCAAAAAAGCTTCGGCGCTGGCATTGGGCCAGAACGCCCAGATTGTGGTGCGTAGCTTCATAAGCTTACGCGAGGAAATTCGGAGCACCCAATTTTTTCTTTCAATCGTTTTGGTTTTGTTTTCTAACTCGGTTTGTTTTGGGGAAGGAAAAAAAACGAAATAAAATAAAGAAGAAAGTGTTTTTTTTGTCGATAAAATCTAATTTCACTAAATCCTTTCGCTAGTCCCCTTTACAACAATTCGATGCTAAAAAAAACGTAATTTTTCCGATCACTTTCCAATACGCTCATTACCTTAAACTTAGAACTTTCGATCGTTACAATAAATAATCATTTTAGGGATGTCGTTCGGCGGCTGGAGGGGCCTGCCCCCAAATCGACCCCCAATGAACTTCACTGCACAGCCAATGGCCTACTTCGGCAACTATGGTCTACAAGACAACCAGGCCGGCCCAATGCGGCCCAATCATACATGGAGACGAGGAAGGGGCCAAGCAGTGCGTGGCCCGATGGCTGCAAGGGCGCCGTTCTGGGGACCAAGCAGGTGCGCAACTATAAAATTGCTAATATCGGCTCAGGGGCCGCGCTAGACCGCCACCGCCGCCTCCACATGCTCGTGGCATTTTGCCACCTCCTTGGCATAGGTGAGCAGCTCTTGAATTGTAGTATCATATTATTCAGGCCACCAACTGTCGATCGGTATTCCGAGTTTCGCGCCTACGAGCAGTTTGCGCCATTCTTCAAGGCTCAGGATACCACACCAAGTTCTTTGAATACCTTGCCTTCAAAAGTTGACCGCGACGTTCAAGCAAGGTGGGTGGTCTGGTTTTTAAAAAGTGGAAAGTCATAAAATTTTCAACGAATAATTGCATCCCGAAACTTTTATTTAGCTGGCGATCCTACTCGAATTTTGTCGACTTCGGAACGACCCATCAGACGCTCGACTGGAAGTTTGAGATTAGCGCACGGAATATTGACATAAGCTGGACCCCGCCCGATGTTGCAGGTTGAGCAAATCAAAAATGTATTTTACGTAAAAATGGTTTTAGTCGGAGTTCGATACACCTATTGGCTGAATGTCGACGGTGATAAGGATCTGTTCAATTTCGAGATGCCTTGGCACAAGACACGTCATTCAATAAGAACCACTCCCGGTGCTGTATATAAGGTTGACCTCCTTTGCCTCGATTGAGTATTGTTTTTCAGGTGACGTTAAGTTGCCGCTCACAAGAAGGCCGTTTACTAGCCCAATCTCAAAAAGAAGTAAAAGCAGGTAAGTTTTCCAAGTACGATTAAGCCTTTCAGTTTTCTCGCTGGCCGAGCTGAAGAAGTTACATCATCGAGCTGTGGAAGTGAATGGGAATGAAACGCACAGCTTTCGCTGGTTGTACAGGTAGGGAGGTGTGTTTTTTTTTTCTAATTTGACAAACTAGATGTAAACCGGAGCGTTATTGGCAAGATATCTACACGAATTGTCACGGCATCATGGAGCCGTATGCTAAAGACAACAACGGGCAACCGGCCAATGCTATCAACGGCGCCATTTCTGGTATTTTCAGCGCGGCTTTTTGGAAAAGTCATTTTTAGGTCTATTCTTCTCGGCAAGGTTGTTTAATGGTGTTATGTCGGGCACGAGTCCGTTTGGTGACCGCCGGTTTCGGATAGAAGCCCCGTTTTTGTTGGACGACTCGAAACACACGTAAGTGATTCGGAAAAGTGTTGGGTGGATTTTTTAAATGTCGTAATTCTGACTACGTACTTTATTTTGACTGGATTGTTTATTTTCAATCGAGTAATAGGACAAATGCAGAAATAAGCGGCAATAAAATGAAAGTTTTAGGATGTATTTCGCGGATTTTTACTGCAACACTGCGCTGCACTACGTTACAATCGTCGTCTGCATTCGAGATTCTCCAACTGACATGTGGGAAATTTTATTAAAAAAAAAACTGTTTTTGCAGCTATTGCTCGACGCGCCTAATCCGCTTGAATCCGGCTACCAACCCATTTATCCGAGTTCAGGCTTGAGTTTTTTGCTGTGCTTTAATTTCCATTTTTAGTACTACCCGCCAAGCAAGAATCTACCCGACGGCGGCCAGGAATACTTTGTCAACAAGGTTTTTTTGGTTTATGGTGGTAAATTAGCATTTTTTTTAGAATGTTTGGGTAGAAGTGTTTTACGCTGGTTCCGTGGATATCAATCGGCGGCCGCTGGACCCAATCCAAGCGACTGGTAGCTTTTAATTCGCACCTTTTTCTATTTTTATTTCTAGGAATGGGCACATCTCGGATAGGAGGACTTCCAAATAATAAGTACTGCGAAATTTGCAACCTCTACCCGGTCGCGAAGCCCGGATCGGCGACTGAGAAGGGATCCGAGGTATTTGTTCTCTGGGGGGTATGAACCGTTTGCTTTAGAAGGAGTGCCACTACACTGACCCAAGAGAATCTACGATCGTTCTGTGCAACTCACTCACAGATGTCAAGGTATCTATCTTGGTATTAAAATATCCTGCAAAATTAAAATTGGCTTTTGATTATAAAAACTGCCTTTTCCGGGACATAGCAGGTTTCTTTATATAACAAGCGGATGCGTTTGTAGATTGCTTTTATCTTCTCGAGCATGAAAACTACAAATTTTGGTTCTTAAGGATTCGCTGGGCGGAGGGGGAACCATTTTTTTCCTAGCGGTCCCGATTGGCCTACTAATCAAATATAAAGTGTTTTTTTGACATGTTTTTAGTAAGTTTTAGCCATATTTAAAGTAGAAAAGCTTTCAAAAAAGTTAAGTCGAAAATTTCGTCATTTTGGGTCGAAAAAAAAAAAGAATTTTTCGACCTAAAATTAAAATTGTATAGTTTTTATGCTTAGGAATCGTTAATAAGGTATATGTCGGCTACGCGGGGGGGGGGAAATTCTACGCGGGGGGGACGGGACAGGCAGGCCTTTTTGGATGTTCTCGTTATTTTCTCGGAATTTTTTCAACGGCATTCGATAGAGCCCCGAAAAATATACTAAGAGTTTTTGTTTTAGCTCAAATTACTGTAATATAAAAAAGTTATGGCAAATACAAAAATAAGCTTTGAAAATCGGTTTGAGCGGCTGTTTTTTGACATTCGCGCTATTTTTTCGACATTTTAAAGATGCCATTCGATAGAGCATCCAAAAATATACTAAGAGTTTTAATTTTAGCTAAAAATAATGTAATATAAAATAGTTATAACAAAAACAAGTATTAAACGTTGTTTCCATGGAGGACAGAAGGAAATCAAGTTTTCGACATTTTCGACATTTTTACAAAATTTCTTTAGTGCCATTCGACAGAGCGTCGAAAAATATACTAAGAGTTTTGTTTGTAGCAAAAAGAAACGCAAAAAAATAGTTAGCTCGGCCCCAATACTCGTCCCCCCCGCGTAAAATTCCCCCCCCCCCGCGTAGCCGACATATACCCGTTAATAACAATTTAGAAACGCATCCAATATTCATAAAAAAATGTCGGCATGTGCCGAAAAAATTTGGAACCTGGATTCACTGGAAAAAATCGGCGCCGCGAATGCTCAAGAGCCTTAACCTTATTTTTAAATCAATTATACTAGACAAATGTTTGTAAATTGTCAAGGTAAATCCCCCTTTTTAGAAAGAGCTCGGAGATTTGTGGCCGGATGCGGTGGATACCGTCTGTCATTTGGTCAACCAGACGTGTGAGATGATGGAGAACGATTTCGGTGTGGCTGTAAGTATCTCTACATCTTTTTTTACTTGTTCTATCTTCTCAGGATGCGCAACAACGCTCTGCAGAACGAATGGACAATGCGATGGCGGTACTACAGCGCGAGATTGAGAAATGTCAGGATGTTGAGGTATTTTGTTGAATTTTGTTCAAAAATGCAATTTTTGCAGATCCTTGCATTTGCTGAAGATCTTCGACAAGTTGTTAGTAGCTTCAAGATGCAGCGAAAGGTAGTTTTGAGGCCCGTTTTATAGTTTGTTTGGATTCAGGTGGTGATGGATCTTCTCAACAAAAAGAGCCAAGAGATTGACGTGACGACCGACATTTCACAACGTAAAATAGCGGCCGCGACACGAAAGAGATAGTTCTTCCCTTCCCCCCTTTTTTTTGCTTTTAGCGGTGCCGATTTAATGTTGAGGGCTTGACAACTAATGCATATGTGATGGACGCACGGGTGTACTTGTTATTTATACTATTTTTACATTGCTTGCATCTTTTGTTATAAAGATTTCTACGTCGTGACTGGAGTATTCGACCAGCAGTTTTAATGCGATACCTGAAAGGCTGGCCGTTTGCAGTTAAATGAAGTTTGTTAGATGGAAAGATTCCGGAAATGGGCTACAGCTATGAAGATTCAAGCACCCGGCGTAAGGATAGACGAAGCCGAACCGGTAAATACCATTGGTTCTCATCACACGAATTCAGGGAGCTGGCTATGGCGTTTTTGCGAACGAGGTTCATCTACCAGAATCCCTGATGATCCGAATGCCGCATAGCGTTTTGCTGACTGCCGGATCGATCGCCGATATGCCGAAATACAAGAAGATGCTTGACGCTTTTAGGTGAGAAACGCATAAATAAGCTTCGAGCAGTCCGATTTTAGCCAAAAGATGGCGCCATTCGAGATTCTGACGTTGTTCTTCTGCCTCGAAGAGTCAAGCTCTTCAAAATACGGACCGTATTTGGATATTTTACCCAAGGTACTGTAGTTCTATGAAATAGACCTTCGTGCCTTTGTAGAAATTCGACACCCCAGCCGCAGATGGAATTCGTTTTGATCCGGCAGAAGTAAAACTAAGCCATTTAGCTAAACGGAATTTAGATCCCGCAATCCGCGAGGGAATTTTATAAACTTCAACTGAAAGAGCTGGACGTTGTTTGGGCAAAGGTTGACCTGGCCCTTAAGAAATGGGAAACTTTGTTTAGCTAACACTTTTCGCCGAAGAACTCTCAAAGCCGATCACGCACGATAAATATTTGTGGGCTTGGCACGTAGTGAATACAAGGTTTTGCTTTTGTATATTTTTGAAAGTCCGTTTAGGTGTATTTATCTGGAAAATCCGTCACATCCACTGGTCGACTCTACTGATGGTGACACGTTGGCGGTGATCCCTTTTGTAGATATGCTGAATCATACGCCAACTGCTCAGGTGTGCAGTTTTTCCAGGCCAGTAAAATTTTAGGGCTTTGCCTTCTACGACAAAATTCGGAATGAATACTGTCTGCGTGCGACGAGAACGGTCAATGAAGGAGACCAGGTTTTCTTTATCTTTTAGATTTTTAGTATTTCTTTTAGATTTTTGTCTGTTATGGCCCACACGACAACGTGCGATTATGGATCGAGTATGGCTTTCGATTGTCGGCAAACCCTAATGGCAAAGTCTCAATACCACAAGGTTGGGTTGGAGCTGGTGTTTTTGAATGGTTTCCAGACTTGCTCGTCGCTTTGGCCATGAAAGCAGGCGTTGAAGTCTCGGATCGACATGTGAAGGCGCTAGAAGAAGCCGCGCAACCCAGGTTTGCATAAGTTTTTATACGTTTATCATTATTTCTCTAGTACGATCTACGCTTCTGACGAGGGTCCCAGCTGGTCGCTGCGCACGAATATGCAGATTCTGTTGATGCCAAAGGCCGAGCTGTGAGTCTTCAGCGCTTTTTTTAGCCGTTTTTTAAGGATCTAATTATTAAAACTTAAATCAAACAATTTTTAGCAAAAAGTGGAAGGACTACGTGTACGCGGAAGACAATAGAAGACGGAGACTTCGGACACGATTTCAAGAAAAGGATAGCGACGACGAGGATGAGCAGAAAGATAATGAAGACTCCAAAAGGGAACGACGTGAACGGGAGGCGCTTCGGAAGATGCTTGTCGAGTTGGCGATGTCGATACGAAGCAGGGCGGAAAAGGTGAAGCTTTCGTATATCTCGATTTCCTAGTTTCAGGTCGATCCTCGGCTCACTTGGGCTTGGATCGAGCAGGCCGAAATCGTGGACGTTGCGGCGAATTCGTTGTTATAACGCTGTTCGCTCGGTGTTGTTATTAATTGCAAATTTTGTTGGCGTTTCTACGTTGATAAAGAGTGTAGGGACTTTATGGTCTTTTTGTGTGACTATTTCGCGTTATCGGGGGAGGGTGAGTTTTTCATTTGCCTACTAATGAAATAGTAAGTCATTTTAACACTGTTTTCAGTAAAATTACTTGTTTTCAAGCGCGAAAACAGTGAAAAAAAATAGAAATATGTAGTCGAATTTTTGGTCGATAATTCGAAAGAACCTTTTTTGTAAAAGACAGCTCCGATTTTCGGTTCTCGAGACCCCCCAGAAACACGAACGCAACAAAACCCAATCGCACAACCACATATTCCTCGAAAATTCGGGCTGACATTCCCGGCGGGACCCCCATTGTCTTCCAGAAGCCCGGGGATGGGCGATGCTAATTCCATTTGGGGCTCCCCCACCCTGTCCCCACAGCACCCCCCAAAATGAGCCGCCAAAGCTATACACAACTTCTTGGAGACGGTGGGGTGGCTTCGGAATTGGGTTTGTATGCCAGAGCTTCTGCGGCAAACGGTAAAAATATGGAGTTTAGAAGCTAGGCTTGGAAATCATTTAAATAGATTTTAGTACGAGCGAGCTTCATCGGAACAGAAGAAGCGAGGAATGCGGTACTTTACTATTAGCGGAGGCCCTAACTTTGGCCTATCGCCGCGTTAGGGTCCCAATAATCAAATATGCGTCATTTATATCGCTTTTGATACCGTTTATTTCGAAAAATTTCATGGATGCTGTACAAAAAATTTAAATTTTTAGAATCCTTTAAAAAGGATTTTATGCCTACTAATAACTACTAAAACCAATCAAAAACGGAAGTTCTCTCTAGAATGCTCGGAAGTATATACTACATGGCTTCCCCCCGCTATCAGCCCAGTACCAAAATAGGCCGATACATGGAATCTACGACGAATTATTCCCCCAGGAAGCCAGATGCTTCTTGAAGGTCGGCTGATACTCAATTTTCAAGGTTGCCTGCCCCTTTTTTGCGGATGGTGCATTGGATGGGGCAGAGGAGGGGAGGGGGACCCCATAAAATGGTCTTTTGTGCCCTGGGAAGGGTTGGAGCCCATCTTCTATTGGTTGGCCCGTGCATCATGCAAAGCGCTCGCTGCCAGTGAATAAATTTCCGCGTTCTATTCGTTGGGGTTCTAATTTTATTACTAATTCGATTTTCTTGCTTTTATTTGGTGTAGTGCTTCCTTACCATTTACTGTAGTGGTTCCGGTTCTGGACTGTTAGCGGGGGGGGGGGCGGGTCACGTGGGGCAACAGGATCTTGGAGTTTCTGGTGTATTTTATAAGATGTGTAATTTAGTGTTTTTATTACCAAATTTCGTGAAAATTGTTCCAGAAAATTTTAAAAATTTGAATGTTTGACCATTTTTGAACATTTTCGCAAGTTTTATGCATTTTTTTCATAACTTTGTCCCTTGAAACCAACGTAAAAAGCTATAAAGTAGTTGTTTTATTACTAGGGCACTGCGCCCCTCGCTACCGCACCAGCACCCAAAATTTTGCGTTTTAGTTTAAATTTTTATTTATTTCTGGTTTCCTTTTTTTTTGTTTTTTTAGACCTTTACAGTAGTCACTCCAGGGGCCAATCCCTTGGGCTTGGCTCCATTTGTCAGCCTGGGTTGGCCCCCATTTCACGCTTCTGCCTACCCGCCGACCCGGATATGAAGCCGAATACGGGGTGGATGCCCATCTCGCCGTTCTATCCACATCAATCTCTGCTATGCCAAGGGATTCGCCTCAATTAGTCTTTGGCCACCATACACAGATTGTTGGTCGGCACACCTCGGATTGACGCTCAAGAATCAAATTATTTTTCTGGTAACGTAAGAAGTATCTGGAAATTCATAGGTTTATTGGCTAATTTTATTACATAGCTATACTTTCCATCTTGAAGGGGCTGCCTGTTGTCCTTAAAGGAGTCGATTTGAATTAAAGATTAGATAAATTCGATTAGAAACGTCACATTTTTTTAATTTTTCTAGTTTCCGAGCGATCAAAAACTGCTAAAACACAAGTAAACATGAATTCCCCCGCTAAAAGGGAGGCACCAAAGTTTGTTCATTGTTTTTTTTAACATCCAACTGTCTTGAATACCTTGAATGGAATTCTTGAATCTGGTTCTTTTATGTTCATTTTTACGAGCTATGATCTTGGGTAGCCTAACGCGCCATGCCAGCTCCGCGCGCTAATCGGCAATTATCTAGCTTCAGAAAGAAGCGCGGGTTATAGGCATAACTTTTCCATCATTTCTAGATCCTAGCCGCGAATTTCTCAATGGATAGACACATGGTCGTGTCGAGTACTACCGACATGCCAGAGAAATAAAAGATCTTCCATCTTTCGAAAGACAGAAGATGTTGAAGTGGGTCGAAATATGGCCGCCCCGAGCACCTTGCGTGTTGTTCTCCCCCCTGGCCGCTCATCGTCATCGATCTGAAGCCACCGGGCGGGGGGAGGCGACAAACCATCTTTGATTTTATGCCCGTCTTCGTATTATAGATTGGCCCCGGGCACCATCCATCAAATCCGGGCTACCGGTATACGCCTAGGTACGGCTGTATACCGGTAGCCCGGATTTTGTACGAAATTGAGGATTTTTGTAGGTGGTATTCAAAATCCGGGATTTTTTGAAATCGACGTAATTTGTCGGCATCGCGGAATATAAGAATCGCTATGTATAGCACAGTCCAAAATCCCAGATCTCAACGATTTTAGGCTGTTGAATGAATAAACTTTTTGAAAAATGCCCGATCACGTCAAAATCCCTGATTCCGACGGTCCAATCAAAAAAGCCGGATTACGCAGAAAATCCTCGATTTCGTAGAATATTACGGTTACCGACAGCGCTCAACCTGTCATGTATAGTATTCCGAAACGACAACCCAATAAACCCGACTTTTTTCGGGTCCCCAATCAAAAGCATGCTTCTCCTGGTGGTGCTCCTCCTCCTCGTCCTCCCCTTCTTCGTCTTCTTCTTCCATTCCCTTCGACGGGCTTTTTTGGAGCTCGTTAGCGGTCGGGCTGACGGCCCTCCTCCCCGCCTTCCTTGCCCTGCCTCGGCTCCACCGAATACCGATACCAGCCGGCCGACTCGAGGTTGGCCCTCCCCTTGTTTTTCTCGTGTTGTTTTGGGCTTTTATCGCAGCTACATTTTAGTTATGGTAATTTTGCTATTTTTAGTTTTTTATATTTCTTTACCTTTCCATACCATTTTTTTAATTTACACATCTTGAAACCTGTAAATCCAAATGGCACGATACTGTACACTACACGTATGAATTTCTTTCAAAGTCCTTTTCTAGGTACTTCTCGTTTATCGGGAGAGGGGTGATTTTAGAGGGATACGGTAGCCAAGTTGGCTAAGCCAACTATATATTCAATCAAATCCGTGTCTAGGCGCTGCTTGTTTATCGGGGGATTTTAGGAATTTTAGAGGCTACGGTAGCCAATTTCTTTCCACCATAATTGACTTGCAGGTAGTTTACTGCTGTCGGGGTTTTCGAATTTCTAGTCAAGCCATTGATGCAGCTTTCTACGTCGTTTTTTGAAACTTAAAAGTAAAAATGCTCATAAAATTATTAAATTCATAAAATTTGATATTTGGCCAAAAAACTGTAAAGACGATAAAAAATACAGTAGAACACACCAAAAAAAATTCTGCTCGGTAGGCTAGAGCTAGAAAATCTCTAGGTTAAGCCCCCCTCCCGATAACAGTCCAGTACCAAAAATGCTAAAATCGAATGGCGCGTTTTCTAAAAAGCACTTTCAAAGAACGTTCTATTTCTACTTTCCCTAATCTCTGCCCATATTCTCCAAAAAAAGCTAAAGAACTTGGCAGTCAGTGCCCTTTTCGTCTTCCTCGGGCCATATGCAAATCAGTTTCTTGACGGCGCTTCCTTTCTCTGCCTGGAGGGGGGAGAGATGGGCGAAGTTGTGGTTGGTGGGGGGGGTTTGTGTGCCGTTTATTTGAGGGGCGGGCCACGGTATGGGCTGCCGGGGGCGAAATTGGGCACCCCGGATTTTAGAGTCTGGATTCGGAATCTAAGCCGCCCCGCGCTCGATCCTCAAGTAGACGAATGGTTTTTTCGGGATTTGGGTAGGGCGGCGGGGAGGGGTTCGGTTTACGGATTTTCACGCTTTACGAAGGGTAGCTAGAGAAAAGCGGGCTTTTTTGGTTTAAAATTGCTCAGGCAATTGTAGTTGGAAGATAGATGTTATTCTGGCCTTACGTTCCCGAAAAGCTATAGTTATAACATATAGAAACTATAAATAAGATCACGTAATCAAGATATAGATAAGTTTTTAATCCTTTTAAAAGCCAAACGACGCCTAGACGTTCAGACGTAGGAAACGAAAACCTGCACGGCGAGCCCAAAATACAGCTACACAGCGGAGCGCGGCGTACCAGGTTTACGTGAACGCGGCGCTCCAATCGACGCGGTTTAACGTTACAAGTATAGTGACGGTAAAACTAACTGAATTTTACAGATTCCTTTTCAATTCGTGACATTGGTATATGTCGGCTACGCGGGGGAAATTTTACGCGGGGGGACGGACTGTTGGGGCCGAGC